GAGGGAGAGAGAGAGAGAGAGAGAGAGAGAGAGAGAGAGAGAGAGAGAGAAAATGTAAGTGATATAGTATGTGTGACAATGTGTGTGTGACTGTATGTGTGTGACAGAGTGTGTAAGTATGCAGACACACACACAAATAAATGTAATGAAAATTAAACAGTTACATTTGGAGCATGAATTGATTAGTGGCTCCAAGCCTTAGAGCCCTTGGTGGCTCTTGTTGGAGACCCTGGTTTGGTTCCCAGCACCCACACAGTGCAGACAGCCATCGGTGTCTCCAGTTCCAGGGCATCTGGAATGCTCTCTTTTGACCTCTGTGAATAACAGGTGTGCACATGGTATGCATATATACATGCAAGCAAACACTTGACCACACAAAACAAAATTAAAAATGAAATAAAAATTTAAAAGAATGTGCATGTTTGAACATTTTATAGTTGATGAGTGATTGTGTTGTGCCATAATTTTCACTGCTTTTGGAAATTGTAACCATAGACTTAGGGTTAGATGAGATATTGAGGTGATTTTGCAATAAGAACTGCTAATAATTTTCTAGTGCTTTGTGATTTTTGAAGTATCCTCACATCCATCTGACACTCCCAGCACCCAGTAAAACCAACATGGCAGTATTGGTGTGTGGTCATCCTTATCCTACACACTAGAACTTGTAAGTATTAGTGTGTGGCTGCTTTATCCTACAAACTAACATGGCAGTATTGGCGTGTGGTCAACCTTATCCTACACACTAGAACATGGCAGTATTGGTGTGTGGTCAGCCTTATCCTACACACTAGAACAAGGCAGTATTGGTGTGTGGTCAACCTTATCCTACACAATATGACATGGAAGTATTGGTGTGTGGTCAGTCTTATTCTACAGACTAGAACGTGGCAGTATTGGTCAGCCTTATCCTACACACCGGAAGCTCTGAGTCCTTGGAATACTGGCTGCTGAAATCAAAATGCAAATCCCAGTCTTTGTCTCTAAATCTCTTGTCTTACCAACCATTTCACTTCAGAGCACTTAACTTAGCTCAGGGTTTCCCATTCTATTGTGGTCTTCATGTAGGTAAAGGGCTTTAAACTCCGTTAAACAAGTTAGTAAAATCAACTTTTAGGTTATTTTAACTTGATTTAAAATTAAGTTTGTCATTGGCTCTCAACCTTATGTTACAATAACTTTAGGAACCTTGGGCTTCAAACAAAACAAAACAAAACAAAAAAAACTTGTGCCTGATGACACCTCAAATCCATGAAAGGGTGGGTTACCCTTTTTGGGGTTAGGCTGTTTTCTCTGATGAACGCTGTTGATGGTATTTGTTCTCAGTTAAAGTTCATTATTTCTTTTAGTCTGTGGCCTAAATAGTAGCTCATATTTACCCATGGGGGGCCCCTGAACTCTTTCTAGAAGTTTCTGTGTCTAACCTCTGCCTCCACTTGACTCACTTTCTCAGCTTTTGCCCCAAGGCATCTACTCTTTTCTTCCATTTCCCTGTCCTTATAGTTTCCATTCTTCACACGTCTACTCTCCACCCTCATGAGCTCCTTCATGATCCAAAGACCAAAACAGGTGCCTCTTATCACACCAATGGATACCTTCTTCCCCTTCTGTTGACATCCCTTTTGTAAAATAATGTCTTGTTGGCAGGAGCATTTATCAAAACCCTGAACCAAAGATGTGAATAGGGTGTTTCCATTCTGCAGGTCCATCTTTGGTGGACTTGCTCCCATGGAAAGTTGTGGGAATGTCAAGAGAGCAAGGCGTGTCCTGTTTCCCAGGGCTCCATTCATATGCAGCTTCTGTTCAGTGCCATGACCTGGAATGTGGAGTGTGTTTCTCAGTGAGAGCCAGTTTCTGTTTGGGCTTGAACCTGTCTGTCTGCTCCATGGCATAAAGAAGTTGTGAACAATCTGCACAGGCTTTCTGTCCAAACACTTCATGGAATACGGATTGTATATCAAAATACCTGGGTAGTACTAGAGGGATAACTAGAGGGAAGATGGATTTCTGTTGGTCCCTTTATCCCATATAAAATCCTGTTAAATTGCAACTAATGCAAAGAAAAGATCTGCTGGGTATAGCAGGCAAATAGGAGCAATGCTCAGCCCTTGACTCCACTATGTCCTAACTTGTGCTGTTTGGTTGCAGGAGCTCGTGTGAATGCCAAGGACAACATGTGGCTGACTCCATTGCACCGGGCTGTTGCTTCCAGAAGTGAAGTGAGTGATCTCCTCCTTTAGTCTAATACCTACTACTGTCTGTAGAGAAAGAATGCTTTCTACTGAGTCCAGGATCTACTGATCAGGGGTAGACAAAGCCTTTTATTCCTAGTGAAAAAGGGTTACCCAAATGGGCAGCTCTTTGTGTGTCTTGCTCATGTCAGACAAGTTGCAGTAGGAGAGTCTTAGAGTTTCTATTGCTGCAATGAAACACCATGACCAAAGGCAAGCTGGGGAAAAAGGGTTTATTTGGCTTACACTTCCATATTGCTGTTCATCACTGAAGGAAGTCAGAACAGGAACTCAAGCAGGGCAGGATCCTGGAGGCAGGTGTTGATGTAGAGGCTAGGTATGGTACCACCCACCATGGGCTGGGCCCTCCCCCATTGATCACTAATTGAGAAAATGCCTTACAGCTGGATCTCAGGGAGGCATTTTCTCAACTGAGTCTCCTTCCTCTCTGATGACTCTAGCATTGTCAAGTCAACACACAAAACTAGCCAGTTACAAGGAGGCATCTTGGTCATCCAAGTTGGACAGCATGAACCTTCAGTGTGTTTTCAGCCTGGAATAGCAAGCAGATCTGTGCAATGCCAGAGTGGGGTGGGAGGAACATGGCACATCTCCCGGAGGAGAGGACAGCCAATCTAGTCCTTAAAGGATAAGCAGGGTGTTAGCAGGCCAGGAGGAGGAGGGGGCCGATGCAGAGTATCCACATGTGAGAGGAGAAGTGGCGGGGGCATGAACCCAAGTCAGATGGAGCTTCCCTGAGCAGAGAGAGCAGTGCAGAGTCAGTCAGATCATTGGGTTGCCAGAGAAACTGATATCCTGTGAGCAGTTGGCAGTGTCTCAGCAGACTATTCTTCAGAAAGACCGCCATGGCTGCAGGGTGAAAGCAGGTTCGGCATACAGGAGTTCAGATGGGGTTGCCCACGAGAAGCCAAAAGGGAGATGGCTGAGGTGAGGCAGGGGGAGGAACCAGTCATTTCAGAGATAGTTAGAGGCAAACCTGACAGGATTTGAGTACCTTGGGAGGATGAGGTGGAAAAAAGCTGGCAGGTGATTAGTGATGTCCTTGGCTAAGCAGGGGCAGGTGGGGCTGGGGGCTGGGGGGAGGGGAACTGGAGTCCTGGAAACTAGTTTGTTCTTTTTGGGATTCAGCCTGAGAAATATGTCTCTGGAATGTAAGCTCCCTGGGGGCAGGAAGTTTATTTATTTATTTTATTCTGTGATGGATCCCAAGTCTAGAATGTTACTGCTATAGAATGAGAGTGGTACTCAAAAACTAGTTTGTTGTTGAATGCTGGAAATATGTGAGGACAGAAAATTCGCTCTCATTATTTATATATAAGTCTGGACGTCAGGGATTAGGAGGATGATATGGAAACCATGGCAAATGGATCAGCTGGTTCAGTGGGAGGTTAGTGGATAGAAAGGGAAGGCCACCATGGGAGCAGGGCTGGGAGGGAACCTGGCAAACATCAGCCTGGCCAGAGAGGGCACAAAAGTCTCTCCTCAAAGGCACCGAGCATTGTGTGGGTAAATTTGTTCAGTGGAGCTGCCTCTCTGGCACTGGAGGAGCTGATAGTCTCCAGGGACACTGAGGAGTAAGGCCGGTGTGACAGCTTATGTGACAGCTAATGTGACCGCATGTGGGAATTTCAGACTAAACTTTGTATGTGGAAGCTTAGTGCTTGTGATTACCCTTGTTGTTCTGGGTGTTGGGAGTTGTTTAAAACGGGGTTGGCTGTATTCTCTTTCCAAAGAGCCCATGTGGAGGAGGGAGGTAAAGAATCCTGAAGTACCTTACCCAGGAACCGGGGAACTCACCTGATGGCCCATGTTGCGTTTCTGCTGTACCTGGGGAAACAGGCACAGTGGCTGCTTAAGGCAGGAAGACTGGTCTTAGATCTGCTTCTTTGCAGGAGAGTGCTCCATAGGCTAAATTTTAAGATGACTTAATCCTTAGTCATTTTGTTGTCTTTTTAAATATATGCACGCATAGAGAGGGTCTTTTCTCCCTTAGCTAGAATGAAGTCTTTTTAGTATGGGAATTTAGACACTTTTTGCATGTCATGTACTGCGTATGATGATGGAGCTACAAAAGAAATATCGGTGGCCCCCAACTTTAAGAGAGAGGGGCACACAACACCTGGTTTTAATACCCTGTGGCCTTGTTAAGTAATCACCCCTACAAAAGCTTTGATCCTCAGGACATCCATTTGTGCCAGCCACCAGGGCACTGTCATTATATGTTTTGTGTTTGAGCGCAGTCTGACCAATGATGGGTTGTTCAGTTCTTAAACTTCTGTGTCTGAAGCACTTGTTGCTTCCTCAACCAAGCAGTAAGGTTTTCTGGGTAAAAAGAAAGGATTGATTTCAGATGGCTCTTGCCAGGGAGAAACTAAATGTAAACTTACAAAAGACAATGCCTTCATAGTATCTGCCACAGTTGAGTTTCTAGTGAAAATTGGAATCTCCAAGTCTAACTTAGGCTCATCTTGATGCCATAGAAGTCTGAAATTCAAGCTCATTTTTTTTTCTTTGAATTTGGTCCTATTGCTATTCTTTCATGCCTCCCCTTACTGATTGTTGAGGGGAAGGAGAGTAGACCTAAGGGAGAAAGGACGGGGGTGTGTGGGTGGGTGGGTTTGGTTTTTAGTTTTGGTTATTAGCACTTACTAAAGAGATGCTGAGTTTCAGTATGAGCCGGCACATGTCTCCATCCCTCAGATTGAGATAGTTAATGAGTGTGTAGTAAAAACAATTTCTTCATTGACAAACTTCTAAACTCTGTAGCATACCCCCCCCCCCAGTATCATCACCTGTTACATCTGGGCGTCCCAGGACCAAAACAATTCTGAACCAAACAACATTGTCTCTGTGTCTGCTACCCAATGCCCCACTGGCCTCACCTTTGCTAGCTTCTTCCCAAGGTGGTGGAGAATTGAAGAGACTTTATCTTAAATTTTAGAGAAATGTACTTTGTAACAGTGGCCAAGAGAGATGAGCAAGACTTGAGGCTTCTGGAAAGAATATTCTGAAAGCTGTGCATGATTTCCTCTGGTCTCCCTTGCCTAGGGTGTTCCTCTTGCTTCTTCACTTGGTTTTCTGGACTAGAACATCCGGGAAGAACAGAATTAGACACATGCAAGCCTGGAGTTGAACATGGAAATCTTAACGTTTGTTCTTGAGGCCCACTGGGTGGAAGACACTGTCAGCTATGTTGTGGGGTCCTTCAGGGTACACACAGCATGGCCTCTGAGATTTTGATGCTCGGGGCCTGAGATGGCCTGAGTGTGAATGTGCTGGCCTCTCACATGTTCTCTGTCTGCTGTGGTGAGCTGGGTGACACTAAAGCGGAATTACTGAACTTCACACTTCCCTGTTCTGGAGACTATGTTTGGGTTAGAAAAGTTAGAATCGTATGCATCCTGTCTTTGGGGTGTTGGTTTGAGGACATTGTATTTCTCTAAATGTTGCCATTCTGAGAATTTATTGAGCTTTCACTATGTGCTAAAGACCTTCTGAGCATTAGTCTTTGTTAATCTCTGACCCTCTGACATCATATTCTTGGTCATACTAACTTAGGAAGTGTGGCCTCAGAGAAGTCAAGTATGGAACAAGGTGTTATAGCCGCAGGTGGAGAAGAGTATGGCCAGGGACACTCCTTGCTTACACCATGCTCTGCTGTCTGCCTCAGATCACCCCTGGACACTGTTTGAATCAGCAAACATCTGGTTTTGCCCTCTTTGCAGAAAAAAGTTTGCCAATGGGAATGAAGATTTTTCTAGGGTTGAATGCTTTATAATAGACTTCCTGGAATGTAGGTGGATTATACTTAGATTAGTGTGCATTGTTAAGTCTTCAGATGTGCTTGTTAAAACATATTGTTCTAGAATTCTCCCCAGTGGCCCTGCTGGAGCCGATAGTTGGGCCTAGAAATATTCATCTTTAAAAGAAAATTCTGAGGCATGCCTCACTATCAGATCTAAGATTGGATACTAGGGATACTTTTTTTTTTTTGTTTTTTGTTTTTGTTTTTCGAGACAAGATTTCTCTGTGGCTTTGGAGGCTGTCCTGGAACTAACTCGTGTAGACCAGGCTGGTCTTGAACTCACAGAGATCCGCCTGCCTCTGCTTCCCGAGTGCTGGGATTAAAGGCATGCGCCACCAACACCCAGCTACTGGGGATACTTTTAAAGAAGTTTATATTATTTTAAGCTAGTTATTTGATAACTTAATACTCCTGCCTTTATGAACCCTGTCCATTTCCCATATCCATCGCTCCTGGTCTTCCTTTGTGATCCATTTAGTTTAATGGGGTCATCTGTGTAACCATTGGTTTAGAACTTTGCCTTTAGAGCTCGGTGGAGTATACCAATGTGCATACAATTGAAGGGAATGACAACCCCTTCTCTCTAATCTATCAGTTGAAACTAGTTCATCACTGAACAGTCCATATTTGGGTCATTTCTGGGCCCATTCTGATATAGATCCATGTGGTTATATGTTATTTATGATTTAATAAAGCCATTGGAGATCAAAATGCAAAGCTAGCCATGGTCATAGAGCCAAGTATTGGTGATACACACCTTTAATCCCAGCAGCCATACTAGCTAGCCATAGAGGCCAGGTGGTGGTGGTACACACCTTTAATTCCAGGACTCAGAAGACAGAGGCAGATGCATTACTGTTAGTTCAAGGCCACACTGAGCTACATGAAATTGATCCAGTCTAAACGAGAAACAGCCCATTCAAAGGTGATCTCAGTACTTGGGATCACACCTTTAATCCCAACTAGGGAGGTGGAAACAGGAGTGATATGGCTGGGTGGAAAAAGGAATATAAGGCAGGAGGAGACAGGAACTCAGAGGATTGCAGTCTGAGGCTTGGTGGAGAACAGTGCAGTCTGCATATTGCCTCTGAGGATTCTTAGAGAGCATATTACCTCTGAGGACTGCACTTGAGTATTTATGGAGACAGGATCATCCATTTTGGTCT